GGGGGGGGGGGCGGAAATCGATATATCGACTCGAGAAACACACTCTCCTGCCGTTAGCGGGAACTGCGTAGCTTCAAGGTCCTCCCTCACACCCCGTCGCGCTCCATTCTACGTTTTCCCTCCCTCCGCCTCCACCCCGCCCACACGAATCCCGCGACCAAGTCGATTTTCTCGGGCCGATTCGGAAGCGGCACGCTTTTTTCGTTCATTTAAATTCGCGAGCGAAAAACGCTCGCTTTTTATACCTCGCTGCGATAACTCCGCCTCGCTTTCGTCCTTCTGTTCCAAGAGCGTTATCGTCAAGTCGACGAACTCGATCGTGCCATGAATACCCGCATCGAAGATAACGCGAATAATTTACCAAACTGGAAAGGATTTTTTTTTAAGGAAATAAAACCCGTGTACCGAGACAAAGAAAGAAAGAAATAGGAGAGGAAGAGATATTCAAGAAATTATATCGTTAATTAAATGAAGATTTCATCATCGATTATGATTAAATTTGTAAAATAAATGACCCGAATTATAGAGAGAGAGAGATTACGAGGAACAAATCTAATTTTCGACAGAGTCCGAAAATATGAGAAAAAGACGAAGCACTGACAGCGCAGCATTTGATCTTCTTTAATGCTCGTGCGCCGCGGACGGCACGAGCCCGTCGCATTATTTTGCCATGACGAGGAGCGAACGGGTTGATTGGCCTGCCGTCAGATAACCCTGAGCAGCCGAGAATTGTATCCGGTTATCGTGCGGTTATCGCTTTAAGCGAATAACGCAAAAAGCATTGGTAATGCACTCTCCGCGGGACTCGCCGCCTCGTCGAGACGAGCCGAGTTTCGCGCTGCAAGTTAACGTAACCGAACCCTCTCGTCCGCTCACGAAACAGATCCCCTTTCTCTTTCCGCCCCCCTCATCACCCGCCCGTTCTCCCGTCCGCCTTCTCGTTGGCTTTGACGGGCTTCCGTTGTTTCGATTTATCGAGAAACCGGAAAGTAACCGAACCCTCTCATCCGCTCACGAAACAGATCCCCTTTCTCTTTCCGCCCCCCTCATCACCCGCCCGTTATCCCGTCCGCCTTCTCGTTGGCTTTGACGGGCTTCCGTTGTTTCGATTTATCGAGAAACCGGAACCGAGACGCCACTTCACCGTCGCCACCGCGCGTTCGCATTTATTTTCGTCCTTCGCGAAAGACAATTCGCAGCCGTTAGAGTATGTATATTTATCTCCGATTGTTTTTACAAAAAATTATCGAGTCAAGTCGTGGAGCAGCGAGCAATGATACGGCTAAGGTGCGATTTCGAACAATTCTGAACGAAATAAAATTTGAATAAAATTTTCAAAGTTGATTTTTTCCTATTTCGTATTCTTCAGTATCCACCAACCATATAATAAGAAGGTTACTAGACGTGAACCCTAAAAATTGAATTCAAATTTTATCTTGTTAAGAATCGTATCTGATTCGAAATGATACCATTTTACTCTATACATATAATCCATAAAATTTAAGAGCACGTCATATTCAATGAGATGCTACATTACTATATGCATGAAGCGCGAATGAAAAAAAAAAACTTGCTTTCTTACGTTCTTATCCGCTCTCTCCGAGACAAGCGAGTAAGAGCGGTGCGAAGATACTCCGAAGATGCGATGGGTCAATGATCCATCGTGTTTATGAGAAATCGGGTCAAAACAAGGAGGAAGGCGATAAAAATCAAAGCGGCAGTCAAGGGGAAGGGTGGATACGGTCTCTCGACAGCAGGTGTGCGATGAACTCACTGAGGGCAGAGTTCTTTCTCGCTGGCGAAAGGAAAGACAGAGCAGGGATGGCCGTTCCTTCCCTTGGGATAAAGAGGGTGTTAAGTTGTAGGGGGTTGTTGTGACGGCGCACGCCTCTACGCAGCGGCGGTCTTCGACTCTTACCAATCTATTATCCTTTTCTTTTGGGCCATGCATGACTTAATCTTCTCTTCTGCGGCGTCGCTAGAAATAGTCGTCGGATATCTGACGCGTTGGCAGATAAGAGAAAGATCGAGCTTCTGGAATTAACTTAGAGAGAGAGAGAGAGAGACTCGAAGATCCGAAATTTTTTCAACTCCCAGAAAACGTCCAGAATCTCACTTTTATCGTACCGCGTTGTCGATCAGGAAATAAAGAACTCGTAAATACCTGGTCCTTTAAATGCTGATTAGATTAGAGCACGCTATCGGGAAGCTGTAAAGTGTTCCGATCAAATAAATCGAAATACTAATTGATAAATAGCGGAATGTTATCGACGGACTTGTATTGACGGGCGTCGTCGGGGCGAGACGTGCGGTTCGGCGCGCGTGTCGCCGGCAAACAACACGCCTGTTTCTGAACGAGAAACGAAGTTCGATACGCGATTATTATGACCCGCGGTGAGCCTTGAACTTGCCCTACGATAAGCGAGGCCGCTTTACGAGTCGTTGTTGCTGCGCGCTTCATTTTCTCAAGCGCTCCTGGTACAATCATCGCGATGATATATATATATATATATATATATATATATATAATACATCATATAATTATGGAACAGAAATCCTATTTTCGATCAAAGCGAATCTTAATGCTTAAATATTTTTGTGTGAATCTGATTCCACGCGTCGAAATCTTTTTCAATCTTGAAACGCAATTATGAATAGAATTAAAATAGTATCCCTCCCGCCCCCAAACACACGTAATATTGCGTATTAAATATAAGGAATTTAATCATTTTTGCGCTAACCTTTTAAGAATATTAATATTAAGAATATATAACGTTAATAAGGCTCTCTTAAAAGATGCGAATAACTTTGTTGCGAAAATTCAATCAATTCGCGGCGATTTTTCAGTATACGTGATTAACTGTAAAGAATTACTTTTTATTCGTAATTATTTTGGTATTTTAAAAGTTCTACCGTATTCGAATCAAGAAACGACACGAGATATTGATTTAGACTTTCTCTCTAACATCATACCTATCGATATGACAATTCTAACTCGGCTCTGATCAAACGCAGAATTATAGGTAGTTTCACGCCATCCCTAGTTGTACGGTAGCAGCTGAACAGTCAGCCAGTCAACTCGCCAACCCCCTATTCAGTGTCGCTACAATAATAAACCACCTCGGTTATCTGTATTTCTGTATTTCCCTCAGGGATTCACGGCGCATTCAGGCATCGAGGCCAAGTTCAAACTATATATACGTATATATATATATCGTTCTCTATAACGGCGTTTTGTCTGTGCATTTATACCTTCTTACGACTACATCGCGCGTGTCTATCGTAGCAGATTTCGCAGAACCAATTATCGAAGAACCGAGTTTGCGTGTCTACTTTGCGTATTTTAATACTTGTGCAATTTTTTCCAAGTTGAATATTCTTACATTTAACCCTCGGCCAGCAACACGGATCTTTAAAGACACTAACGATATTTTGCGATTATGAATTCTGGTATAAATTTAAATCTGTGTAAAAAATAAATAAAATACACTCCGACTTGAATAATGATGAAAATTTGTTAAAACTTTGACAGGTATACCAGAATTTTTTCAGATTTTTATATAAAACAAAATAAAATAAAATAAAATAAAAACTGTAATTTTTCGAAAATTCCTATTACTGAGAGAATAATTAAAATTCCATGTTGAGCGTAATGGAATAATTAACGCAAATCATAGTCAACAAAAATACACATTTTACTCTTACGCAGCAAATAATGTGTAAAAAAAGATGAAAATAAATGTCACACGATGTCAATAATGTGATTCGTGTGAATGAATGGTTCACTTACCTTCTTCTCCGTGAGCTTCTCGCATCTCCTCATTTTACAGATCTGATGACTTTTGTCGTTTCTACATGGCGCGCAATCCCCACAATTGTCCTTGCGTTGGCATCCTATGCACTCTCCGCATCTCTTCCGCTTTTTCTTCGCCGGCTTGTCGCCAAGGCCACCATCACCGTCGCCGTCGGTTATACCCCCGCCGAGATGATGCACGCCGCGATTAGCGGTGGATGAGACGGCGGCTACCTGACCTGAACTTTCTACATTGCCGGTACCAACAGCGCCTCCACCGCCGCCGCCCCCACCCCCGCCATCTTCTGATTCCATGGATCCAGCACGGATTTTTCTGCGCTCCTTTTTACGCCCGTCAATACCAATCGGCCGTGAAGTCGGCGAGGAGTCCAGCACGGTTGAAATGGGATTTTGAAAATTCGCGTGGTGCAATTGCGCGTAATCGGGCTTCACTACCGTCAGTACTGTATGATGAGGGTGACCTCCAATGGTTGGCTGGGGGAAAGGTGGCAGCGGGTTGGAGCCCAAGAGCTGTATGTGACGCTCGTCAATCATCTGCTGCTGTAAAGACGGGACGTCCCGAGCTGCCACTGGCGCCGGTACCAGAGGATAACCGACTGATCCACGATGCGGATGCGATGTCGGAAGCGGTGCCCCAAGTGTGTGGAAACTCGGCAGGCCCACGGCTGATGTAACCGGCGGCGAGTGTGAGATGGACGCTGGTGATAGTGGCGTCAATGCCGTTAACTGAGGTTCAGATTCGCTCGGAGCGGTGAACTGACTCGCGAAGCTAGGCAGTACCGCATCCGGACCGCCACTTTTGGACTCCCAGGGTCTGTAATTGCTCGTCGGGACCACGTCGATCAGCCGGCCAGTCAGGCCTTCGTAATAGTCCCAACCTAGCAGGTTTGTATCTTGAGAGTGAAGCGCCGCGGTCAGCGACGAGGTGTCCATCACGTGCTCGCCGCCGGCGAAACTGCTGAAGGGCGGCAGATGCCGCGCCGTCAGGTCGCCGGAGCCGACCGTGCCTGGTGAGGTCGCAACCGCCGCCGGAGGGCTCGTCGGGACCCTCTCGGTGGCGACGACCTCCTTCGTCACCTCGGCGCTCATCTTCCTCGCCACACCATCGCGACTTCGACTCCTCCACCCGGTTGGCGAGTTTCGCACTTGGTGGTGATCCTCTTCCTGGAATCTCCCGAGAATCGCGCTGGATGCTTGTTCTCCGAAGGCTTGAGATTATCTAGTAGTTTTCGAGCGGATAATCAATGAAATTTTTTTGCGCGACATTGATGCCTTTCTCGATCGACTCTGATCGTACTCTGATTCTCATTAATTTATTGAATCGGATCCCAGAGGTTCAATTTCCTCGATGACATCCTTATCTCAAAGTAGATCCCGGAAGTGGTTACACTTGTCTCTCAGAAAATAGTTCGTGTGTTTCGGTCGCACGTAATTTTCCAGGTAATGGTCTACTCTTCAATATTACGCTTGTCCTCTCTCGTTCTTCTTCTCTCTTTCTCTTCGTTTCTCTCTGTCTATCTATATCTTTAACTCTGTATCGTTTTGTACTCAACAGGTTTAGGCTACGAACTGAAGTAGATCGGTTACTCTGGGAGTGTTTAAGCGAATCCGATTGATTCCTCCCTTTGTCTGCTTCTTCTTCCTTTCGCTTGGCGAAAATCTGTCACGTGACACGTCCAGTTTAAAAAATGCACTTATATTTTACGGCTCTATTTCTGTAAACCTCTACAAAACTGTATGCCGTCTCGCTTAATTAATCTGGCTCTGACAAAGGAATCGGTGTGTGTGTGTGTGTGTGTGTGTGTCTCACTATTATTTCACTTGACGAGAGATTGATTATTGTTATTCGATGAATGATTAATAGAAAAAAAATGGTAGATTCTTTGGTTTACGGTCTTGCTCTCGCAATGTGTTACTCTGTCGCTCTTTCTTTCTTGCTCCTGGTTTAATTTAAATGCTGTAAGTATGCACTTGACTGCGTTTATTCTTACGAAATTTATAGAATGTGTGTGCCTGGAAGATTATATTTCTTATATATTCCAGATAAAATAAATCTTACTCTATTCTATCCTATTCTCGCTCTTTCGCTTTCTCTCTCTCTCTCTTCCTGTTACAACGATCACTTTCACTTTGTTTTCTTTCTCAATTTGGCACTGGCGGACTTGTTTATTTATTTGTTTTTATCTGTATTTTGTTTTCTTCCTTTAATTAGATATACTTTGTACACTTATAGCTAATATAGCTCTTAATCTTTTGTCTTCTTCTGAACCCTAAGCTCTTGGGATATTTTCTTTTTTTTTGTGTGTTCCTTCTTTAAATCGATATAAACATACTAATTACATATTTCTTTCACGTTTCGTAAGAAAATAGAAATCACTTGAGGTTAATGTGGCTTGTTAGAAGGCGGTTGATTTGTACGATCTGAAACAGAAAACAAAAGGATTCTATCAGATATTCGTGTCACATTTCGCAACAAGAAAATGAAAAAATTTCCCGATATGATAAAACGATTGCTCGACCGGCGTTAAACTGATTCATAAAGAGCGCTTTGTACGTTGTATCGAGGGTGGAAAAAAATCAACGAAAAAAAATGGTGTTGCTAACGCGGATCAGCGAATACATCACGCGAGCAGGAACGCACACGTGACGCGAGACTATACGAGAATATGTCACAGACGTTGCTTATAACGTGACCATCGCTAAGCCAAGGCTACTATTACGTTCGGCGTTGGTTTCGCACACCAACTCGTGTACGCTCGCTTTGATACTCGCGTACGTTGCGCCTAGCCGTTTCATTCACGTTGCTTAGAAGTCCGACGACGATGGCTTTGAACTCGTCACATCATTCCAAGTGGAGCAACCCGATCGAAGACGGAAACGGAAGGACGTAGTATACCGTTGCTGATAAAAACTTGCACAGCAAATCAATAATTTAAAAAATTAGAAAATAAACGAGTTGAATTATTTGATAACCCCCCTCCCCCCCCCGTGCGTGTAACACAAATGCATTTTTCAAAGATTAATATTTAGATTATTATAAAATACGTGCACACACATACACAGTTTTTATCGTTAAGTCTAAAGACTTGTTCGCAGTCGCGAGAGTTTCGTCGCCGTCGTTAAAATCGGGCTGCTAGCCCTCCGCGGAATATCGATCGATGTTTATTCTCTCGTTCTCTCGCTGCTTCTCTTTCTCCTACATCCATCTCTTCCCGTTCTTCTTTCTTCCTCTCTCTCTCTCTCTCTCTCTCTCTCTCTCTCTCTCTCTCTCTCTCTCTCTCTCTCTCTCT